TGGAGTATCGACCATCCTGCACTGAGGTCAATGAGAAAACGCCTGCCCAAATGCACACAAAAACGATTATGAGGTATATTTTTGGCCAGTAAACTGGCCATCTGTGCAGCCAGCTGGCTACTCTCAGCGAATGGATACTCCAGATCGGTCCGTGAACATGCGAGAGGCAATGTTCATCGCTTGAAGCTCCTGGAAGAGCAACTTGGCAGCGTACGGGATCTGAATCTGTGCAATCTTGGTCTTATTCTTGCAAGGCCGACACTCGAAGTTTTGCGTGCCAAGTTGACTGGAAAGACTTGTTAGCGTTTACATAAAAAGCGAAACGGTAGGTGAAATATCGGACTTACGCGACTGGTGTCATGAGTCCACATATTTCGCAAATGTGGACTCGGAAGGCATCTGAAACCTCGAAGAGTCGTTCCTTCAAAAACGCTGCAGCTCCATGAGCAATCATGCAATCACGCTCCATTTCTCCGAACCGGAGACCACCATCTCGAGCACGACCCTCCACAGGCTGGCGCGTCATTATCTGTACAGGACCACGCGCACGGGCGTGGATTTTGTCATCGACCATGTGCCGCAAACGCTGATAGTAGGTAGGGCCAAAGAAGACCTGGGCCCGAAGCTTTTTGCCAGTATGCCCATGGTACATAATCTCAAACCCGCGGGACTGGTAGCCTTCTTCACGAAGGAGACTCGACACAGAGTCGACCGTCACGTCGGTGAAGGGGGTCGCGTCACCTTCATAGCCCTTCAAGGTAGCGACCTTGCTAAGAAGACACTCGATCAAATGAGCAATGGTCATACGCGAGGGAATTGCATGAGGGTTGATAATAATGTCAGGGACTATCCCCTCCCGAGTGAAGGGCATGTCTTCCTGACGGTAAGTTACACCGATTGTTCCCTTCTGTCCGTGACGGGAGGCGAACTTGTCGCCGATTTGGGGGATTTTGGTGGTTCGAACCCGTACTTTGACGAAACGCAAATTATCAGCATTGGTAGTTACAATTACCTGATCGACAATGCCGCTTTCAGTACTGCGCAAAGGAGTAGACGCGTCTCTCTTGACGTGAACCTTCTGGCGTTGGCCCATCTCCTCATTGTCGGGTGCTATGGGCGCAGTCTTTCCAATGATGATGTCTTCGCCAGAGACTCGAATTCCAGGTGCGATGATACCATCATCGTCTAGTTTATCATAAGTACCCTGCTTGAGGCGCAAGGTATCTGCTCTGAAAGGCTTTTCAAATTGCTCGACGGTGTTAATTCCAACACGTTTTTCAGAATCGGAATAGGCACGGAAGAAAAGACTTCGGAAGAGACCTCGATCAATACTGCTCTGGTTCATAATGACCGAATCTTCTTGGTTGTATCCAGAATAACAGGAAATGGCGACGATGGCGTTCTGACCTGCTGGTAGCTCTCGGAATTTGAGGAATTCCATCGAACGCGTTGTGCCCAAAGGCTTTTGTGGATAGTAGAGAATGTTGGCCATAGTATCCATACGGCGGGAGTAGTTTGTGAGGAAGAACCCCATAGCTTGTTTACCCATGGCGGACTGGTATGTATTTCGGGGTGACTGTAATGCACTATTAGCTGATATGGGAGATAATTGGGTTGATATGGCTTACCTGGTTATGATCAGGGAACGGTATGATACTAGCGCAGATACCAAGAAGCATGCTAGGATGAATCTCGCAATGGGTGTACATGTGAGTCGAATGATTCATCTTTGTCTTCAGACGCTTGTTCAGATCGCCTGAGTTGTCATCCTCAAAATTGTACCCAGCTTTGGTCAATCGATAATTTTCAAGATCTTCAGGTGTCATGCATATCATGGCGGTCTCTTCCTCCTCCGCATCAAGGTATTCGACCGCACCCGTGTTGACCAAGCCCTGCCAACCAAAGTATTGGTCGCTTCCGGGAGGCAGAAACTGGTCATCTCGGAGTCTATTAACTACATCTTTAGTCAGGGCCAAGGAGCCCTTGGGTACGCCAGTCTCAGCATTATCTTCTTGTTCGACGACGTAGAGCGGTCGCATGACTCGGCCGGCATCGGAGAAAATGTTGAATTCACGGTCTCGAATATCACGAACAAGTGAGACTTCAGCCGGGATCTGATTCATACGACGTAATTGTTGAACATCCCACACCAGCGACTGGGGATCCTGGTGGACACCTATCCAAGACCCATTCAAGAAGATCTTGGTGGCATTGGGATATCGCGATGGCTCATACTCCTCGAGGACCTCCATATTCCTTGTAATCATATAGTCGACGATTGGGTCTGACAATGTGCCCACGCTGATAGAGCACATAAGTGACAGATTCTTGACCAGGCCACAGGCTTGGCCCTCGGGCGTTTCCGCAGGGCACACAAGGCCCCAATGTGTGTTGTGGAGCTGTCGTGGTTTTGCGATCTTGCCATCTCTACCAACAGGGGTGTTGGTTCTTCGCAAGTGAGACAGAGTCGAGGCAAAAGTGTATCGGTTCAGGACCTGCGACACACCTGCCGTAGAACTCATCGCCTTCTTCTGCTCACCCCAGTTGCCCGTGGCGAGAGCGTACTTCAAATTGTTGGTGATAATCGTAGGCTTTACCGCCAGGGCGATGTTGAACTGGCGATTCTGCTCAATGCTTCGCTTCAGAGATTGCATGACTTCAGTAGTCAGCCGCCGCACTATACCGCGGAACAACTTTGCAAGGAGAGGCCCGGCAAGGTCCAGACGTTTCTTGCCGAAATGATCACGATCATCGGTATCACGGCGACCTAGGGCGCACTGGAGCAACTTGTGGACCATGTAACCGAGATAGAAAGCCTTCCTGGTCTCGCATCCTTCGTTCTGGGAAATATGGGGGAGCATTTCCTTCTGTAGAATGTCCCTCGCCGCACGAACACGGCGATCTCGCTGCATGCCATTTCCGGCCGTCATGTTGCCTCGTTTGCCAATGTAGTCCAAAGCAACCTCTCGATCTTGTATGCAGAAAGCCTCTTCGATGCATGGTCGCAGCATCTCCAGCATCTGACTATCATTTCGGTCGTAGCAGATGTGATTTAGAATTTCTTCGTCACTGACCACGCCTAAGGCTCGAAACACGATAGCAATAGGCAGATCAGACTTCACATAGGGTAAAGAGGTCTTGATCAGCTGTCCATATCCTCCTTTACTTGAGTCGCCTTTCGTGTACAATTTCATCATAAGTGAGGAGATCAATCGCGAGCCTTTCTCCAGTGCACTTCGTATCTCAGCTGTGTAGGAGAAAGGGCTGGGCTGAGCCTTCTTGAAGACTTGAATGATGTTGGCAGCAGATCGTTCCTGGGCGATGAGGACCTTTTCACTTCCGTTGATGATGAAGTAGCCACCTTGATCATAGGGGCACTCGTTCAGTAGAAACAGATCGTCTTCGTCTTGGCGGCTCAAGTGACAGGCGGTCGACTTGACCATAACGGGTATTTTTCCCATGAAGACGTTGGCATTGGTATCAACACTATCATCATTCTTGGTATTCGCGGTAATCATGCCATTGTCATCAGGCTCCCATTCCAAGCGCATTGGTTGTTTGCCGGTCTTTGCGAACTCTGCCTTCTGCTCATCGTCCTGCTCTTCGTATGGGATGGGCTTCTCGAGGCAGATTTTACACTTGCCTTCGACACGAGCAAATAATGGACTAGCATAGGTAAGATTTCTGTCGCGACATTCGTATGGCAAGAGCGGGCTAGAACCCAAGCCTTCTGCGTAGACGGGACGGGAGACTGTGACGGTTCCGAAGTTGACCTCATAACGTCGAGCAGCAATTTCGCGGTTGTCGTATGAAGGGGGGTTATTCTGGTCTAGGCTAAGATGGCTGTTCTCGTTGAGGAGTTCTTGTATGGTCGTCGCTTGGAAATCGTTGAAGGAATCGATTTGTTGCGACACAAGGCCTTTGGTTTCGAAGTACGATTGGATGACGGTCCAACAGTCTTCAGGTGCGAGATTCCTATCATCACCGGCATCCTCTTCGTACTCGTAACCTTCATCGTAATCTTCCATGCTGGATATAGGTAAAGGCACACTCAGAAAGCGAGGCAAAGGTAGAGTGTTATCACGTGTCGCGGCGGCAAGAGATTAGTATGTTGCAGAGGGAAGAGCGAGGCGATTCGTTTGGCAGGCGGGTTGTTGAATCGGTCGGCAGAAGCAGGTGCTAATGTCGTTCTTTGAGGTACGCGATGGATTTGCGAATTCGGAAGAAGGCAGGCAGCTTTGGGGTGTTCGCAGAGAAAGAGGTGGTAAGGGTTGGCAGCAGGCGCGAAACCAAAGCGGTTACTGAGCTGCCTCCAGCACACGCGCAGGTCAGCCAGTTACGGAGGAGGCCTCAGTGCATGTAGAAAGAAGGAGCAGTAAACATATGCCAGGCTTTACTACTGAGGACAGCGGAACTCTCGAGGTGGTATGCACCAGTTGATGACTGCGGATCGTGCTGGTGTGCAAAGATGGCCAGATGATTGTATGAAGATGGTAGGCAATTTTCTGAACGAAGCCTCCGGCTTGAGCTGAAGTGCAAGGGTGTTCAAAGCAAAAGCGCGGCAATCCGGGCTAGTCCGCTTGTGGCGTAGAAGGGTTCCACATAGAGGCAGGTCTGCACGTGACTTTCTTGGTGAGCATCCCGAATCTCCATTAGAAAACACACAAATGATGTGGTGTCCCATCCCATCGTCGCATTCTCGGCCAATGTGGCTGGGCAATCTAAAACGGATACTACCAGTCCCTTCCAGATACCCTTGGAGGGGCTTGAATCTATGCTCGCAGTAACCAGCCAATTTTACATCGCAAATGCAACAGAAACAGCCGGAGTACTTACTGATGTTGGACAAAGTTGCTAACAGCTTGAAGCCACTGTAATTAGGGCTAGAAGTGTGCAGTACCCTGCTAAGAAGAATCTGACAAACCAAGGCCCCACCATACAGTGTCCGCCATTTGATGCAGTAGATATAATTGTGATTAAAAGCCGAGATTTTCATCATAGCTCGCGTCGTATAGTGGTCAGTACATGACGTTGTGGTCGCTCTTCACAGCAATTCATGAACCGTCAAAACGGCGGTTCGATTCCGCCCGCGGGCAAGACTAGAAAACAGTTTATTTTGTCCTTTTTGTACATCTGGCATTAAGCATCAGTCAATTCCTGAAACTTGCTTACTGTTTTTCTTTTCAATCAGTTTAACAGACTCTCACTCAACTTGTGATTATTTCCGTCAATCTCGGAAAACGTCAATGTATCATGATATCCCTAGGGATGCGGTGCTCATTTGTGTTACTACTACACTGCATTTAAATCACTTGCGTTTCGCCCAAGCTGGCACGAGCCTCAACACGATCAGTGTACCGGAACAACAGGCATGCCGGTTTGAAGTACTTCAAGCTACATACAACGGTAATTCACTTGTGTATATACATGCGCCCATCCGGCTCTAGCAACTACATGAGGCCAAAAAACTTCAGGGTAGCGTCACCCTGGAACGCCGGGATGTGCCCTCCACCTTGCACTTCAAAACCGATGAGCTGAGTGCCATCGCCGTCTGCAATTGTTCCGGTATAGTCAGCCAATGCCTCTTCAATCGCTCTTCGCGTTGATTGATACACGTGGTCTACTTACAGACAATTCGCTTCCAATTAGCAATTGGATCGTTCGAGATGTTCTTGGTGAAACTCAGTCCCTGTAGGGACGACCACTGGTCCAGCTGGGCTTTCAAGTTATTAAGCGTGACGGCCGTATCGGCAGTGCCGTGGACTACCATCTTTCCTGATATTAGCTTGCCATCCTGGGGACTTGAAGTATAGCATGCGCAAATACCATCTTAGGGTAGGTTCCGTTGTATCCAACATCGCAACCCCGAGCGAGATCAGCCCACTGTTGAGGCGTAAATCGACTGGCCTTCTGTCCCATCGGGCATGAAAGATCGGAAGACAACGGAGTCGATATCGGGCTTCCGGCCCAGCATGCTGCAGGTACACCAGAGTAAGACGCCGCGCCTTTAAAGAGACTAATCGCAGGACAATGGTCAGTAGATGATTCTGCCGACTATCTCTTGCAGCTCAATGTGTTGTAGGGACGCAGAGACCAAGAAACCTCAGAGTGAGTTGCGAACGACACCTGCGACGACGTGCTCGAAAGGGAAAACATGATGAAGACTTGGGTACGGACTCTGGGTATGTGGCAGCCAAAACGTTACTCTCCATTGCGCCAGAGGAACCACCGACAACGAACACCTTCTCAGGGTCGCCCTTATATTCGTCCAGGGCCCATTTGACCAGCCCGGCGAGACTCTGCGAATCACCACCGCCATCATGCGTCAACGACTTATTTGAGTGAGCGTCCCAGCAGTTCATCCCGCTCTGCGACTTCGAGGTTGGGAAAAGAAGAACGAGGCCGAGCTTGTCAGCGTACGATGGCAGGGGAGTCATCTGATAGTACACTGGCATGTCAATGGTTAGCAATCGCTGAACTCGGATGGGAAGGAGATATCGTTTCGAGAATGATTTCTCCCTGGGATAATGGATTTCGGATGGGGCCTGATCGCACTCACTCTGGCCAGTACCTCCGCAAGGGTGAAGCTACGAATGCCACCGTCAGCTCTGTCATGTCTCGTGTAGCGGCCCTCAACATACCCCGAGGATAATCGTAGGCTTCTCCGGCATCGTGGTCGGGGTGTATACAATGGAGCTACCGAGGTTGGTTGGGTTCTCATCCCATTTAGGGATGCTGCCAACCTTACCAGCAAGGGCTGGTGAGGCCCCCAGCAAGGCTGAGATTACCACCGCACTCGAATAATACATTGTCGACTTGGTTTTCGTCCAGGTAATAGAAATATAAGTGATAGGTCTACTCGTGACAGAAGCTTGGTCCCTGGGACTGGTTGGACACTTGGTTTAAGTATCTACGCCGACTATTTCAGGATCTTCATTTGCATCACACATCTACTACGTCTTTAGAGAACCATGCTTGCGGCAATGGGACACGGCAATCTAATAGTGAGGGCGCGACACTTCAACGTAGCTTCGGAGGTTCTACGGCCATCTTCTCTCGCTAGCTATCTGCCCCTTGGGGATTGCGGAAGAAGGCAGCGTCCATCAATAATATAAATAAGGATCGGTGTTGGGCTATGGGTTTTATCGTATTTATGACGGCCGGCTAAATGTCGTTCTACGAATAGCCTGTGCCAAGAACCCTTCTCGACCGCGCGTTCGGCTGGCCAATACTGGGGCAGGAAGAAGACGAGAGAACCGATTACTAGGCTCATCAATCTTTCTTATTCGGAGCTTTAATGGTCGTGCCGATGCGAATAGGATTTCGCGACCACTCTTCAAGCCCCCTTAGCTTTACTTTCAAGAGGTTGCATCCGACTCCAGGCCCCAAATGCTCGCAACACCGCTCCGAACAGGCTCTCTACGCACCAGAAACTGCAGGCATAGGCGCAGGCATAGGCGCAGGCATAGGTCATGAGAATAGCTTAGGTAAAAAAAAAAAAATGTTGGCATGCCATCACTTCGTCATTGAGGGAGTTTAGGAACAGAGGCTTCGCAGACCAGCAATACATGCTCGTTCATGTAATTGTTCGACAGTACATTACCAAACATTCGCATGAAAATAGGGCCAATCTCGTCATCTAGACTATGCGAGTTTGCATCGAGAAACCCAAGAAAAGATGCCCTCGCAACAGTACGGTATATGATTGCTACTCTTAATATGTACTTCCTGCTCTTGTCGACTGACGAAACTAGGCGTTCGCCGCTCTACATATTTGTTGATGCAAGGACTATTCTTCCAGATCCGCCAGACATGGCTTGTTCGCCCTTCGATCGTCTACTGAAGCGCGTCTTGTCGGTTGCGCAATTGAGGCGAAAGTATTGCATTTCGCCGGTGACCGGTGTTCACAAAACCTGTAGAGCTAGAATAGCAAACCGACGGACGCAAACTCAATATCCCGCACCCATGAGCGTCACGCTTACCTTTGTCAACCGTCAGCGCCGTCGTCTCCCATCTTCACCCGTTCCCGACACCGAGAACCGTGTTTCCATGTACCCCACTTGACGTAGGTCAGCACTTTCTGGTGCTCCTTGCCTTTGATCCCGGGGTGCACACCCTAGAGGGGGCCTGTGAGCTGTAGTCGTAAAAAATATCCAGACAGCCGGGCACTTCAACGAGTTGCTATGTTCTATGGTCCAATGAGACCTGTCTCCTCCCGAGATGTTGTGCCGGTGTCGTCCTCGAAGACCACTGAGATGCGACCGGAGATGACCCCGGAGAACACTGATCCTCTTACGGGCCATGCTGCACACATTGAGATGTAGATGGGCTGTAGCTGCGGAGACTTCCGCTTTATCGAAAGCCAGAATGGACATGTGCATATCCGAAGCTGTACTTGATCACGACAAGAGCCGACGTCTACTTTCGTTGGCACACATGGACATAAGTGGAATTGGGACAGATTCCATCACGTGAGGATTATGTCCATCCATACCTCATTACCTTGCGCCTGGTGTTAGGTATCCGATCGCCCGAACACGCGAACGGCCAAGCAAGTCACCTCGATATTTTTTTCTGCTGAGAGACGCTTACCAAGTCTACTCGCTGTCACAATCTGCCCGGGCCTGTACAATGCGGGGATACATGTTTTTGAGACGACTCGGTACGGGCACTTTGGCATGCAAGGAGATTCTGCCTCCTCTGCCATCTCAGCGCCTAGAGGAACGGCACGCTGACACACGGGCAGTGCGGGGAAGTATACTGATTTTTATATGGTAGTACTAGTAGTAGTAGCATATGCAGAGTAGGCGTAGGACGCAGCTCGAATACTAGCCACTTCTATTTTGTATGTATATACTGTCAGAGTATGTAAGTAGGTGGTACCTACCAGGGCTGTCTGGCAGAATCTTGGGCGATTGGGCTCGGCAGCGCTGGTCAGCGGTCAAGCCCTATCATACCTAGGATCGGCAGCGTGATGTCGCCCGCTCTCTGCCCGCTCCCCTGGCCAGCCCTGGCCTCCCCCTCAAAACCCACCGACCTCCTCAATATCACCCCCCATACTGCCCCATGCTGCATGCCCATGGATGGGCGTGATCGACCCTTCCCCAACTTCCATCCCCGCTGTGTGACGATCAAAGAGCACGTTCCCCGACTTCCGTTCTTCACGGCCCATTACCGTACCACCATCAGCACCATCACACCCGGGTGAGAAGCACGCCTTGGCCGCGAGAAATGGCGGGGTTGACTCCTGCACCAGACAAACATGAATAGACCAACAACATCTTTCGGTGATCTGCCTCGCCAAGCTGGCAGCTAATCTATATTCCCTGCATTCATCGGTCCATTCGTGTCTGTGTACCCAGCTAAATTCTCACCGTGCTCACGATGGAAGGGGGGATAGGTGAGTGGGAAGGGGGTAGATATGTAAGTACATACAATACTCTCTCTGTATAGCAGCTGCAGGACGACTGAACATTCACCAACCACCGTCTTTCTTCCGAGAGACTGCTGTGTCTGGACACAACGAAGGCCATGATATCTGGCATCAAGATGAATGTGTTTCTTCAACGATTGGAAGCTGATGTCGCTCAGAATCGGGCCTTTTCATCTCCTTCCCACATACCTGCATGCCTACTGGAGGTTAGCAAGCAGTATGTATGTACCTACACCGTCTCCCCTCGGGACTAGCTGCTGATGATCGCCATTTCGCACTGAAATGGGTGTGTATTCTTTTGCATGACGATGACCTTCCTCGTGAGCTATCCGACCCAAGACCGTGGGCGAGGGAGAGCCTCAGCCCTTGAATGCATGGCCAGTGACCTTTTCTTTCCTCTAGCCATACCCACCCACTTCCTCCCTTCTCTGGTAGATCAGAGTCAAAAGCTACGAGAAGGCAAGTGCTGTATGACGCTTCCATTGACAACTTGATGTCGTTCGTTGAGAGAGAGTCATTGAACGTTGATTGCCAGCGCCGTGTGTGCTACTAGCAGTAGCTCACCCGCAAGCTCGCCCAGAAATGCTCCGGGTATGGTGCATGTCCCAGCCGGTGCCAGGCCTGATCCCAGCTAGCCCAGCCTCCGCTTGCTGCAGTGGCTCA